TCTTCAGAAATCATTCTAATATGCTGATTTGCTGCTCAAGAAACATTTCTGATTATTATCAATGTTGAAAACAGTGCTGCACAATATTTTTGTGGAAACTGTGATACATTTTATGTTTCAGGATTCACAGATGAATAGAAAGTTCAGAAGAACAGCATTTATTTGAAATAGAATCTTTTGTGACACTTTTGATCAATTTAATGCATCCTTGATGAATAAAAGTATTGTTATTTTTTAAAAATCACACTTAGCCCAAACGTTTGAATGATAATCACTGATAATAATCAGCAAATCAGCATATTAGAATGATTTCTGAAGATCATGTGACACTGAAGACTGGAGTAATGATGCTGAAAATACAGCTGCGCATCACAGAAATACATTACAGTTTAACAGCGATTCACATAGAAAACAGCTTTTTAAATTGTAATAATATTTTACAATTTTACTGTATTTTTGAACAAATAAATGCAGCCTTGATGAGCAGAAGAGATAAAAAACTCAGCTCGGTGAGTGCTCGATATAAACATTTAAAAAACTATAGAAGGATTTATCAGCTCTTATCCTGTAACAGGAGAAGGATTCTGCTCCGAGTGTTAATGCAGTCAATCTAGGTTCAGCAGAAACTCACGGACTCTGATTTGCAGATTCTCGTACTCCTGCGCTGAAGGAGCAAACAAAGAGCTGTGGTCATCAGGACATCATCTGAAGTCCTGCAGGAAAGTGCTGTTCTCCGGCGATGGACAGAGTCAGTGTTTGTGTCTCCTTTCATTGCTTCAGTGTTGATCAGTTCTTCACTTGTTTCTCCAGTGACTCTCTCCTCTGTGTTCCTCAGAGCTCTTCAGCGTGTCTAAAGACAAGGCCGTTCACATCATGGACGTGGAGGCTGGGAAACTGCTGACACGCATCCCCAAAGCTCACAAGTACCTGATGTTCCCGTTCATGTCTTAAACAGCCGTTCTTTAAGATTTATAAGAGGAAAGCTGATGGAATGTTCTTTGAACAGTGAAGTCATTGGTGTTTTTGATTTTTTTTCGAGGGCCCCCATCAACGCCCTGCTGCTGGTGGATGAGAATATCTTTGCGACGGGCGATGACGAGGGAATGCTGAAGGTCTGGGACGTGAGGAGAGGAACCTCGTTCATGGATCTGAAGCAGCATGAGGATTTTATCAGTGATATCACCATCGATCAGGACAAACGGACCCTGCTCACTTCCAGGTGCTGTCTCCAGCCTCACCGCTTACGCTCGCTTTCTTTAAAGGAGACATATTATGCCCCTTTTTACAATATGTAATATAAGTCTCTAGTGTCCCCAGAATGTGTCTGTGAAGTTTCAGCTCAAAATACTCCATTTATTACATCATTTTGAAAATGCCTATTTTGAGTGGAAGCAGAAACACGCTGTTTTTCATGCCTGTCTCTTTAAATGCAAATGAGCTGCTACTCCCCGCCTAGCTCTGCTAAAAAACATCTGTTTTGGATCTGATTATCATGTTTATCATGCTGAAATCATGTGTTTTAAACCATATGAGTTTAAACTTCTGATATAAGGTTTTCTGAGAGCACACATCTGAAGCACACGCACAGAAAGCGGCTGTCGCAGCATGTGAGTACTAAACTAAGTTCTCATTCACACACAAGTTTACGTTAAAAACACACGAGTTACAAAAACAGTGGGTTATGTCTGTGAAGGTAAACAGCTGGGAAATAAATCACATGTTTATTTTAGATCTGTGTGGCAGCAGCAATATACAGTAAATAAATAATAAATCCTCTGCTCAGTTGTCTCCTCTGAGGCTGGGACTCTAAACAGTGTTCTGTGCTCATCTGTGCAGACAAACACAGAACAGTTAGCATGTTTTGCTCAAACTTTCGTCATGGCATTAGAGCTGCTACACTGCTGTCGCTTGCGAAATCAAAATAACAGCGCCGTGGGTGGAAACTTACAGATTAAGGGGCGGTGATATTATAATGAGATCCCTTTGCAAAGTCACCAAGGGATCTAAATCAGACGCGCTCGTTTTCTGAGACGCTTGCAGAAAAAGGCTTCCCAAAACGAAGTTACTGGGTTAATCTTTTTCACGTTTCCTTGGTTGGTAGATGCACCGGGGACCTGATTATAGCACTTAAAACCTGGAAAACTCAGATTTTCATGATGTGTCACCTTTAAAAGAAATGGCGCTTGCTTTGACGTCTAATGTGATGCAATGCCTTTCCTACATTAGGTGTGATAAGTGTGCAAACTGATGTTTGATTGGATGATATCATGGTGTGTTTGTGACTTTGTTTCATTTGTAGTGGCGACGGCACTATGGGTGTGTTCAATATAAGAAGACGAAGATTTGAACTGCTTTCCGAGTTCCAGAATGGAGATCTTAACTCTGTTTGCATTATGAAAGTGAGTCTAAACCGCGTCACTATAGTGCTAATGAACCATTTCAGACACAATCTGACTTCACATTCACTAGTCGCTTCGGGTAAATAACTAGAAGAATAACAGAGAACGGTAAACGGTGAGGCATTGGTGCTACAAACCATATGATTATAGACATAAAATAGCCGTTTGCAGCATAATGGACTGTTTTTAGAGTGACTGAGAAGCAGGTGACACGGGAAGACTCGCACATTCAAGGAACAAAGGCTGATAATGCAGTTTTAATCATGAAAATCCTCTTTGTTTGCCACACAGAGAGGCCGTAAGGTCGTTTGTGGATCCGGCGAGGGCAAAATCTACATTTTTAACTGGAATGGTTTTGGTGCCACCAGCGACCGGTTTGCGGTTCAGGCCGAGTCTGTGGATTGTATCGTGCCGATCACTGACAGCATTCTGTGTGCCGCCTCCACCGACGGAGTCATCAGGTGAACAGGTTCTCATTTTAATAGACCTTAAACTGTAATGTATTTCTGTGATCAAAGCTGATCATTTTTTCAGCATCATTACTCCAGTCTTCAGTGTCACATGATCTTCAGAAATCATAATAATATGCTGATTTATTATCAGTTGTGCTGCTTCATATTTTGTTTGGAAACTGATACTTTTTTTCAGGATTCTTTGATGAATAAAAAGTTAAAAAGAACAGCATTTATTCAAAATATAAATCTTTTCTAACAATATAAGTCTTTGCTGTCACTTCTTATCAATTTAACACATCCTTGCTGAATAAAAGTTTTAATTTCTTTCAAAAAAAGAAAGAATAAAAATGTACTGACCCCAAACTGTTGAACGGTAGTGTATATTGTTAGAAAAGATTTATATTTTGAATAAATGCTGTTCTTTTTAACTTTTTATTCATCAAAGAATCCTGAAAAAAAGTATCACAGCTTCCAAAAAAATATTAAGCAGCACAACTGATAATAAATCAGCATATTATACTGATTTCTGAAGATCATGTGACACTGAAGACTGGAGTAATGATGCTGAAAATACAGTTGCGCATCACAGAAATACAGTACAGTTTCATGTATACTAAAATAGAAAAACATTATTTTACATCATAATGATATTTCACAATATTTGAAATTTTTTGATTTTTGATCAAATAAATGCAGCCTTGATGAGCAGAAGAGACTTCTGTAAAAACATTAAAACCGTCCTGATCCCAAACTTTTGACTGGTAGTGTGTATACATACATATATCAGTTACGAGTGTAATTACTCTTTCAGCTCATATATTATTATTTCAAAGGGTATTTTGGTGGTGATCAGGAGAGTTATGTTCCTGACACATGATTTTCTCCAAAATACATTCTCATTGATCAGTGCTTTAACATTTAACAACCACCCACTTCATCCATGGATCATGGGGGCAAGTTTTGTGCAATACACATTTACCGTACACAAGTTCATTCATTTTTTTATTTTTTTAGTGAGAATACTCGGGAATTTATTTGACTGCACAGTTTGTTTTTCAAGCCAATTATTAAAGCCTTTATAACAAGATTGATATCTATAACGATAACTATGAACATAAATAGAGAAATCCAGACCACAGCTATCATGACAATCACACGTCACTTTCAGAAGATGAACAATAAATACTCTGACAGCCAATCACAATCCACCGACTTTAGAGTTTGAGCATTTAAAGCGACAGATGACAAAAATATATTTATCGTAATAATTATCTTTATAGTTATGGTTCTTAGTGTGAACGGGCCTCAACTCGTTAACAGCACTGTTCAGATTTTTCCAAATTATTCTTTTTTCCAGCTACTGAATTATTATAAAACAGATAGTTCCGGTGCTTGATTCTGATTGGTTGAGCTGCGTTCGAAGCTGTTGTAAATTACTCTACAAAGTAACATACACCTTTGTTTACGTTTGTGTGTTGCTCGGCAACCACTTTGTAGCAACCACAACTGTTTCTGAGGAGCTACATTGTTTGGTGGAAGAATACTGTTTTTATTAATATCATTACACTTTATTTGCTCTGTTTTATTTTGTGAAACCTTACTACGTATATGGAATAACCGTTTTATAAAAGCAATAAGCTCTGTGAAGCCGTGGGGCTTATTGCTTTATTAAAACATGTCAATCAAAATCTTTCCTATAGACACTGATATAGTTAGTGTTATAGTTTTGGTTGTACTCCGGATGCACATCTCTTCTCTTCTGAAACTAATGCTTCAGTCCTCCGTCCGCAGAGCTGTGAGTGTCCTGCCGAACCGTGTTCTGGGCAGCGTCGGGCAGCACGCCGGCGAGTCCATCGAGGAGATCGCGAGATCCAGAGACACACGCTTCCTCGCCAGCTGCGCTCACGACCAGCTCGTCAAGTTCTGGGACATCTCCAGCTTACCAGACACCAGAGTCAGCGATTACCGGCGGAGAAAGAAGAAAGACCGACGCCTCAAAGCTCTGAGTAATAAAGCTTTCGACACGGGACAGGATTTCTTCGCCGGCCTTTTAGACTCAACTGAAGAAAACCGGAATAAAGAAGATGAGGAGGAGGAGGAGGAGGACAGTGACAGCGGGAGCGACTGAAAATACTTAACTCCTGCAATACTGTGTTGCCATTTCTATATTTCATGTATATTTTCTGAATCAGTTTCTCACACATGCACACATTAAATTATATGCTATTACACATCTGTATTTGTATAATATATCATTTAGAATACATGCTGTGCTGTCATAAACTTTGTTACATTCTTTGCCCAAGAAACATCAAATAACACGTTCACATGAAACAGACAGTATTTGAAACAAAAGTTTCTATGTGACCCTGGAGCACAAAACCAGTCATAAGGGTCAATTTTTTTTTAATTGAGATGTATGCATCATCTGAAGCTGAATAAATATCTTTCCATTGATGTATGGTTTGTTAGGATCGGACAATATTTGGCTGAGAGACAACTATTTGAAAATCTGGAATCTGAGGGTGCAAAAAAATCTAAATATTGAGAAAATCATCTTTAAAGTTGTTCAAATGAAGTTCTTAGCAATGCATATTACTAATCAAACATTAAGTTTTGATATATTTACGGTAGGACATTTACTAAATATCTTCATGGAACATGATCTTTACTTAATATCCTAATGATTTTTGGCATAAAAGAAAAATCAATAATTTTGACCCATACAATGTATTGTTGGCTATTGCTACAAATATACCCCAGCGACTTAACACTGCTTTTGTGCTCCAGGGTCACATATTGTGTTTCGTTTACTTCTACTAACTCATCTAGGGAGCACAGCACTAGTCACTACAATACTTTTTTTCTTTTGCAATTGAGGTGCAAAATTTAATTGTAATTGAATTTCAACACAAACATGTAATAGCTTATTTATTTCAACAAATTTGGAAAGCAAACCACGTATTCAGAATATTTCGAGGTATAGTTTTGCACAATAAATGTAAAAATGCATGAACATACAGTACAGTGGAGCCCAAGGATGTGATGTTTCCGTCTATATTTGGGAATTACAGAACTATTTTCTAGTTCCCAAACAGCCTGATCTGTGGCTCTTGTACTGCCTGTCAGATTTCCCGGATTCGGAATATTCTCCATAACAGATCTGAATAACAGAAATGCTGAAATTCATGGTTGTAATAATTACAGAAGCAGCTCCAAAGAATAAATCTGACATCTTTAATGTTTCGCTAATCTTTACTCTGGCTGATTTAGTCAAAATTATCTTTACATGAAGCCATTCTTAGGTTGACGTCCTGTCTTGGTTTGGTTTAAAAAACTATCTTTCTTTAAAAGATCTCTGATGAAACCTTTAATCCCAAACTCAAATCCGTCCACTAACACAGGTGCGGCTGAGACTGAAGCTGATTGGCTACTCGAGACTGACCGGAGTAGATGGCATGTTTTTGCCTCGTTCGGGGAAAGAAACAAAAGCTGCCCCCTCGGGATCAATCATCAGAACGTCTCCATTCTTGCTCTCATCTTTCACAAGAACAAGAAAGGCCTTGGCAACAACATCAGCCCTGCGATGAAAACACAATTATATGACCGTACAAAGCTTTCTCAGTTTTGATGTTAAACTCAAACCCTTGTTTTATCTGTCACGTGTCTCTCTCCTGATATGAAGGTTTGTTAACTCACTCCAGACAGCCGCGGTTCTCCATCATCGTGTCTGCAATACCCTTCAGTGGAAAGAAACTTCCAATATGCTCTTCTGAACTCATGACGGACAGAAGACTGGTCTTCACAAACCACGGACAGAGAACGTTGATCCTCACCCCGTAGTTAGCCAGCTTGGAAACGGCCTGTTGATGAGCAATTAAAGAAAAAACTCAAAAGACTTTCTCTTTCACAAAACAAAACGTGATGCTTTATATGTAAAATACGTACTGCCATGGCACGACTGAATCCCACCACGCCGTGTTTAGTTGCTGTGTAGATGGGCGCCATCGGCAAAGGCCCCAAACCTGCGGCCAACAGGCGAAGATTCAGTCAACACGTGGCTTTATTACAGCAACAGATCTGCCATCATTTACCTCAAAATGTTCTCAGTGGGTTTTTTTGGGGTCGAAAACAACTTTGGACCCCATTGACTTACATTGTAAGAACAAAAGCAGCGGAAACATTCTTTAAAGTATCTTCATTTGTGCCCAACAGATGAAAGTCAGTCATACTGGTTGAAATAACATGAGGTAAATGATGAGAGAAGTTTCATTTTTAGATGAACTATCCATTCATCATAGGTTTACGAAAGTCTTTACCGTTTTTCTCAATTGCTTTGGCTCAATTCTCAAATGAGAGTTTTTTTCCTGATGTTTCTTGTTCACATCAGATTTGAATTTCTTACAGATTTAGATGTGTTTTGGCACGTGTGTGCAAAAGAGAAGTATGATTGTCTACAATTTGCACATTAACTAAATGCACATGGCTTGTCAAAACTGATGAGTTGATTCTCAGTGGAAACGTCAAACTCTTCACAACTTCTAAACTTTCTTGCATTGTGTGAGCCATCACATGCAAACTGATCCATTCAGTCATCAGACGTGTGTATGCTCCATAGATATCTGACATGGGATGGTTGTGATGTCTGCTAAGTTGGGAAATGGCTTGCCATTAGGGTTGCAAAGGGGCAGAAATTTTCCAGGATTTTTTTGGAAACTTGGGAAAATGTTGTACATTTTCGGAAACTTTTCCACCCCTTTGCAAACCTACTTGCCATTGTAATGAAATAGGAATCACAATCTTGCCAATCAGCCAAGTTTGGAAGCATATATATGGAGTTTGCCCAGCACAATAACTATTATTTCAGAACGAGGAGGAACGTCATAACCCTAAACAGCAGCAGCTACAGCACTACTGTATGAATACATTTATATTTATACAGTACATTTATCTGTAGAAATGTGTTCCATGTAAACTGTGAAAATTGATACTTGCTTGTCGTGAAAGAGGAAGTCATGTAAGAATGTGCGGTGGAGCTGTTAGGGGAAGACAGTAGACCGAGTGTGTGAAAATGATTACGCTATGGTGTTACAGTTTCAGACATTGTGCCGATTAATACAAGTTAGATGGGATGCAATTTTAGGATGCAGTCAAATGTTGATGAAAGAGATGAGTTTTCAGCTGTCGCTTGAAAATTGTCAGAGGTTCAGCATTCCAGATGAGGGTGGGCAGATCATTCCACCAGCCAGGAACGGTGAATGGAAATGTTCTGGAAAGTGATTTTGTGCCTCTCTGTGATGGAACCACGAGGCGTCGCTCACTTGTACATCTCAGGCTTCTGCAGGGGATGTAGATTCGAGTGAGTGGAAGTAGGAGGGTGAGGAGTCCGTGGCTGTTCTATATGCAAGCCTCAATGACTTGAACTTGATGTGAGCTGCAACCAGTAGCCAGTGCAAGGAGATAAAGAGAGGTGCCCTTTTGGGCTCATTGAAGACCAGTCATGCTGCTGCATTCTGAATCATTTGAAGAGGTTTGATTGCACATGATGGAAGCCCAGCCAGAAGAGCATTGCAGTAGTCCAGCCTAAAAAATGACAAGGGCCTGGACAAGACGTTGTGTTGCATGCTCCGTTAGAAAGGGCCTGAACTTTCTGATGTTGTGCAATGCAACCTGCAGTTTTTGCAATGTGGTCTTTGAAAGTCAGCTGGTCATCAAAGATTACACCAAGATTTCTGACCGAACTTGATGGGGTAGTGGTTGATTAACCTAGCTGGATGGTGAAATCATGCTGTAGAGTCGGAGTGGCACAGACAAAACTGACACTCTTGTATAGTATAGAAAGCAGTCTGTCAACAAAAATAGTAAAAAAAAAACAATTTGCATATAACAAGATTGAATTTGCATATACCATGAAATGAAACCTGCATATAACAAATATGTCCATGTTGAAAAAAACAAAAAATTTTTTTGAGCAGTGTGACTCACACCATGACAAAAATCAAGTCACTGACACAATAACTAGGTTTTGAAGCATGAATTAAATGTTTTGGGTGAGTTACTACATTTTGCAGACATGCAATACAGTTCTGATGTTCCAGCAAACAGTTGTGACAATTGCACTTACAGTTTAGAGAATGTTAAGACTGTTTCGAAAAATGTGCTAAAGCGATTGAGAAAAACTGTAATTGTTTAATCTGTGTTTATTTTAAACAGAGACGGTATCAAACCTGCCATAGATGAAATGTTGACAATGACTCCTCCATTGCCACTGTTTTCCTTCTTCATATGTTCTAGAGCGAGATACGTTCCTCTGACCACTCCACCCTGAGACGAGCACAAAACACCTTCAGCTGAAAACACAGACGGACGAACAGACAGATAGACACACAGACAGATGGACGGACAGACAGACAGGTGGACTGACACACAGATAGACGGACAGACAGACACACACACACACACACACACACAGACAGACGAACAGACAGATAGACAGACAGATGGACGGACAGACAGACAGGTGGACGGACACACAGATGGATGGACAGACAGACAGACGGACACACAGACAGACGAACAGACAGATAGACAGACAGATGGACGGACACACAGACAGACAGACAGACAGA